CGCCCCGCCCGCCGCGCCCGCAGCACCTGCGGCGGCATATGACTATGAGCAGCAGCCTCAGACCTTGGCAGTGGAGATGCGAAGTAGGGCCCCGCCGGCGGGGCGTGGTGGGGCGAGGCGGGGCGTGGTGGGGCCCAGACCATCGCATTAACGTGTGTGATGGCTCGGATGAAGTGGAGTGAACTGAGACGGCGGGGCCGGGCCGGGTGAAACGCGCCGACCGTTGTGAGCGAGTGAGTTTGAAATGATGCGAAGTTGATGCGCGGCGCTTTCTGTTAAAATAGCAACGCGGCCCTCTCTATATGGCACGGGGACACTAAGGATATAGAGCCCCCGAGTGGCCTCCTTTTCGTTCACTCACACACTCACACTGCAAACAACAAGGGACACACAAAAGCGCAGTGGGGCAGCGGGCCGCCGGCGCCTGCGCCTCGGCCCGTGCGATGGTATCTGGCGGGCGAGGCGGGGCCTTTGTTCTAATTAGAGCGGTCGCCATTCAAGGAGAACCAGTGGCCTGATCGTGCCGAATGCGCCGGTGCGGAGATAAGGGCCGTCGTTACTCTTGTGGTCGTCGGGAGTGTCAGCACGCTTGCGCGCTTGTTGTTTGCAGAGCTCCGTGTGCAGCGGGACGAGGGACGTGTGCACGGACACCGAGAGCGACACCGTCACCGAGGACTCGGGCCTGCTGTCGCTCGGTGCCAGTGACGATGGCGACGAGAGTGCGGTGAGTTGTAGCCAGATGACCAGTATTTTTATTTATTAATATTTTGAGACTGTTTATGTGTAATTTTTTTTTCCAAAGCAGGCTTCTACTAAATTTCGTATTTTGCAAAGTGTATCGCACACCACTTATCCTGGGCTTCCCTTTTCTTTCCTTCTCCAGGCCGTTCGCGAGAGGCTGGCACTGCTCGCCGGCACGCTGGTGGCCGAGGAGGACCGGGGCTGTCTGCAGCGCGCGCTGCAGCTGCTCGATACCTACCAGCAGCAGCTGCACAAGGTGAGCACAACAGCGTATACTGTTCATACCACCAAATCTTCCATTTACGAACCACCACACTTCGACCGGACAGACGGCAGTGAAGATGCAATTGCTAACTATACCTATCCCTAAATAATTTTCGTGCAATAAAAGGACGTAGCCGTCCGAGCGAGAACCGTTGGGGGAGCTTGCCTACTAACAGACTTGTCCCGCAGCAGGACACCACCAAGGCCAGCCCACCGGCCAAGCCGCCTAACCAGCGCATCGTGGCCACGGTGCTGCCCTACACCGACCTGGCGGACGAGGCGCTCGACGCCAAGCAGAACAGCCGGGAGGACTTCCGCCGCAAGCAGGAGTTCTTCAACCAGATGCAGAGGCTGGACCGCACTTGCGGCGCTCAAAAGTCCCTCAAGCAGGCCGACTGCCTTCAGGAGAGCGGCATCTTCGAGGCCGAGGACGGCGTCGGCGGCGACCTGGCGAGCGTCGCCACGCAGACGGACGCGGCCTGGACGTGCGCGAGTGGGTGCCAGCCGCCTGCCAGCCCGTGAGTACAGAGGAGGAGACAGGTTGACAAGAGTCCGTACCCCGTGATTGTATATCATAACACGCAAACGTAAGCCGCACTGTATACGTAGAGCGAAAGTTACTGTTAATCATTGTGCAAAATTTTCGGCATGAGTGAGATAGAACCAATTAATTGCTTATTGCCCTTGATTTCAAATTTAAACTCGAACACTTTGCATAACTTTAAAGGGCTTTTTTGGTTCAAGTTACGGAAACCCGGGGGATTCCACTTATTTGACCCCGGGCGCTCTCTGTATTGTCCCTGTCTCAGGCCGCTGGAAGTGCCGGTGGAGTTGCCGGCACAGGAACCCGAGGTGTTCTCCTCGCTGCCCACCTTCGGCTCGGCCAAGACGACCCCGCCCCCGCAGCCGGGCGCGCTGAGTGCCGAGATACAGAAGTTGTCGCAGATC